ATCATTCCCTTATTTAGCTACGCAAAACTCGTAAATTTATTGGCAATGTCAATGTAATAGAAAGATAACCTCATTCTAGAAGGTTCAGCTGCCAGATAATCTTGAAAAGTTGCTATGTTCTAACAGCCATTACTTATAAGGAAGTTAATAGCGAAAAAGCTAGGAGCATAACTGAAGTAAACAAGTGCTATAACAGGCGGAGGTTTTTAGTAGCACATGATAATATCAACAATTTGGGGCGAGATGTTGAAAATTAGATACATATGGCATAAGGAGCAAAACATAGAAAGAAAAAAATTTTGACTTCTTTGTGCTTTTCTCGATAATGGACTGGCAATAGCTTTAAAAAAAACAGAAGAGATCGAAACAGGATAGCGGAAAGAAAGGAAAACGTACCACTTTCAGTGGTGAACTTTCATGAAGATGCGTTGACGTAGGAACTTCGAGATCGACTTGGTCAATTCTAGACTTGTGCACTTTTTGCTCATTGAAGATGCGGTAGGATGTATCCAAGAACTTTCCATTCACTGCTGAAATACAAACCTAATAACTTCCATATACATTATGCCCTGAACAGCTGCAGAGACTTTTCAACTTTTGATATTCTAATGTTCCTTTTAGCTTTCCCAACTTCCAAACACACACGTTATCTGTGAGCTGAATCCAAAGCTAATGGGTGCGACTTGAACGCTAAAATATGATGTAAATAGGCAGGTAATTTCTCAACTCTATCACCGTTTCGATATAGAAAACATTAATTCTACTCAAATCACCTAAAAGCCTTGAACTAGCTGATCTGCCTAAAGAACATTATTTTAGACAACAAAGAAACCTAACAGCCAAGACAGGATAAGATTTGCTGTCGCACTTTAGCGTTATCATCTACTCTCCAGTATAACTCGAGTATGAAATTCCCTCAAAGTCGCCGTTTCAGTATAAAAAATGTCTGTAATTGCGACGGACCAAGAACCAATTCTTCATTAAGCATTTCTGAACTTTATCAAACTCAAAGCATGACACTCATCCAGCCGAGCTCAAACTTTAGATTCAATGCTATCTAGGTGTAACCGGTCTCCTCTAAATCTAGTTGGCTG